TCACGGCACTGCTGCTGCGTGACATGGTACAGGAATACAGCTCAGAAGCTCCTTCCCCACTGAAAGCTGTCTCAGCTGCGCAGCTCAGGCTGCTGGCTCTGGGCACTTTACTTTGCAGGCTTCTTTTGATGCTTCCTCTTCCATTTCGCACCTTCAAAGTCCACATTACAGAGAACAAAAGCAGTTGTTCCCCTGAAATCTCTGCTTCTGTATCTATCAGACACAGTTCTGCAACGCAGTCCAGTAGTCTGCCCCTTCTTGTTCCAAATAATCCAGGATTTACGGCTCCTGTCGTTTCCATTAGTCTGACGAACTTAACCAACAGCCTTGTTTCTGACATCTTCCTGCTTCTTCCCGCGTAACACAAAAAAAGAGCAGCAATTTTCTCTAGACATCAGAAATTTGGAAGCATTTAGAAGTTCAGAAGATGGCTTTAAGAAAGCTGGCAAGGAGACACCTCTAAACCTCTGCTCATTGTTTCCACCTAGAATTTACTCACAAAGGGGGCAGCCTCTTACTGCACCTCCTGCCAATACCCGTCTACAGTCAAACACGCCTGCAATTTAGGTGTACAGGCTTAATTACTCCAGTAAATTAAATCATCCATTCTCCCTGGCTCTGGAAGAATGGAAAGCATCTGGTCAAAACATACAGGGCATTGGCTGACACATATTTGCTTTCCAAGCAGTAAAACATCTACGGCTTTCCAAAACAACCACACGTGTCACATGCAGTATCCGTAACAGCCTCCTAAAGGATGTAATTTGTGGTGGAGTAACAAGTAAAGTGTTTCAGGCTTGTGCACTGGGGCTTTCAAAATACACAGTCTCATGCTTTCTCTGTGGCACATGTGCTACGTTTGTGCACCCAACCTACAAGATCTACTTGCCCTAGTCGCAAAGTCATCACAAAATTTCTCAAAATAATTCAGTTCTGGCACAAGGACCAGAGGACAAAGTTAAATTACCCCAGGGAATGCTCAGAACAGCTGTGCCCTATTCCCTCTCCCTATTCTGCCTGCAGCTGTACTCAGTTCAGTTGGAGACCCCTCTCCAACATATTTTTTTTGAGGAATGGTCCTAGTTCCTTCACTTGTTCTTCAAATGGAAGCCAGCCCACACCTTTGATTATTCACTCTGCCCTTCTTCATACGCTTTTTAATTCTGTATTTTTTTCCAGGGAGCAACAGAATGGCACTCAGCATCGAAGTGCAGGTGGATGATGAGCACGGCACAGCAAGGACACCCGCAATAGTTAACGCTAATTCCTAATATCAGTTGGCTTTTGATCATGCATATCAAGATGATGTTTAGAAGTGTTTAACCCCAGAAGCACCTCCAGGGCGCACCATCGCTTACAGAAAATTCAAACTGCTCATCCTCCCATGGGACCGGTTCAAGCTTGTCCACACCCAACATTGGCCAATTTATCACGCAGTCTCTCACTACTTCCAGCATCACGCCTCAGCTTTGTTTTTAACCTCAACAGCTCAGTATTAGCAGCACCATTTATCGGGTGTCAAACCTGTATCCCACCACTTGCTTCTAAGTCTCCAGAATTACCACCTTGCACAGCAACGGGCAGAACCTGTCCTGGATAGCATGCTGAGCTTAATAAAAAAATAATCTGCAAAAATGTAAAAATAGCAAGGGACAAAACTGAGTGACAGCCACAAAATTCAATGTCACTAAACACAAGCTCATGCACTGAGAGGGGGAGACATCAGAGGGAATGCACCAAATTATGTAGACAACATGACGTCCCCAAATCAGCTACTAACACTCAAGAAACCTCCCGGAGTCACAGTGGACCACTCGGTACATCATCAGCCAAAGGCTCAGAGGTGTCTAAGAAAAATATATTATCAGAAACCCTATGGGAAGAACTGGTGAACAACCAGAGGGACCTTTCCATGCTATGACACAAAGCCACAGTGCTCACGTATCGCCCCATCTCAAAGATTACAAGCAGCCTAGAGAAGGGTAACAGCAAAAATCAGATCTACGGAATATATTCCCTAGGAGGCACTAAACACAGATGGCTCTTCAGCCTCAAAAAAAGAAGGAATCTAAGGAAGCATAAAGATAACTGACAGGTAGACATGGAAAAGTTGCTCACTACTTTCTCAAGTAAACGGGATTAAGGAGATGCACATAGAAAAATGCCAGTTAAATGAGCAGAGGCAAATAGAATAGAATCACAGAATTGTTTGGTTGGAAAAGCCCTTTAAGCTCCCCAGGCCCAACCGTTCCCCTAACCCTGCCATCCCACCACCAAACCCTGGCCCTAAGCACCTCCTCTGCCCAGCTTTTAAATACCCCCAGGGATGGGGACTCAACCCCTTCCCTGGGC